TGGCCAAGGCGCTCACGGATGGCATGGGCGACCAGGAGCTCATCTGCTCGGCCAAGACGGTGCTCGTGGCGCCCAAGAGCGTGCTGGCAGCCAACCTGTCGGGCAGTCTCGAGGCCTCGGGCATCCCTTACTCGGCGTCTGACAAGGCGGTGGACCTTGGCATCGACACATTCTGGGGACGTCGCAGGGCGCGTACCAAGGCGTCGGCTTGCATCGTTGCTGGAGCCCGACGATGGAGGCGCATCATGAAGCTGCGACGGGCCACTGCCAGACCGACGGAGCGCCGAAGGTTGTGGGCCGCGGGCGCGCTGCCGCAGTCGGCCTCCGGCCACCAGGTCAACGGCGCACTTCCTGGACTTGCGCGTCAGCTACAACGCCGGGCTGGCCATGCTGTGGGCGGTGCTGCCCGCGGGCGCTGCCTCGCCTCCGTGCTGACGGCCGCGGTGGGGCTGCGCGACCCCTTCATCGCCGTGCGTGTACAGCTGGCGACGTCGTGGTGCAGCCTCCGGTTTTCCGGCGCGTCGCTGCATGGTCGCATCGGACGCGCCTGACCAAGGGTCCTCGGGGCTCTACGGCGCGCTGGCAAGTGTGGCTGGAGGCGGGTCCGTGGTCCCATGGGCGCGCTGCATGCTACGCTGATGGACATGGGCTGGGGCCCGCGTGCGACCTCTGTCTGGGTTCGTCCGACTGCCGAGGGCGCGGGCGAGCGGAGGTTGGCTGGCAACGACGACGACAGCTTCCACGCACGCGCCAGCTTCAGCGGGGTGTTGCAGGATGCCGAGGAGGACCTCAGACGCCAGCTCTGGCAGCCTGCGTCGTTGCACCTGCATCGGGGCGACCTCGTCGACGGCGCGGGCTTCCTGCACGTCGGTCGTGAGCTCAGGAAGCTGGAACGCGAGGCTCGCCATGCCGAGTGGGGCATCACCCTCACTGTGGTCTCTGGCGGCCAGTGGACGAGATCCCGTCGTGCTGCTACTGGCTACGTGCTGAAACACAGCCGCGGCGTCCATCGGCGCGGGCGACACCTTGGAGGCTACGAGGCGCGAGGACGGCTTCGCGGTGGTCTACGGTGATGCTTCGGGCGGGAAGCGCTCCGATGACCCGAGGCGCAGACGCTGTGCGACCAGCATCGTTGTCATGGGTCAGGACGAGGAGGGGTCGTGGACCGAGTTGCGGTGATTCCGCGCTGGCCTGTTCCTGGCAGACGGCGGACGGCGCCGCGAGCGGAGATGCTCGGTTTCGCGCTCGTGCCGGAGTCCGTCGGAGGGAACCTGCGGTACGTGACTGGCCACGAGCCGCTCATGCGGTGCTGGGAGAGGAGGATGGCGGTCGTCAAGCCTGGCGGCGCACATGAGGACATCTGGCAGCACGCGCGTCAGGCGCGGCGATGCAGGTCTCCCGGCATGATCGAGGTTGTCTGGGCGCCCGCGCACACGGACGAGGAGGAACACTTGCAGCCGCTCAGGACGGAGTCGGACCTCGAGCGGACTCTGGGCAACGCTGTCGCCGATGCGCTCGCGAGCGCGACTGTGGCGGCCTGCTGGCGGCTCGGGCTCGCGGGGGCTGAGTCGCACACCGACGTCGTGGACGCAGAGGCCCGCGTGGCCCGCAGGCGTGCTTGCAGAGCCATGGAGCTCGCAGCTGAGGCGAGCCAGCTGCGTGGAATTCGTTGCTTGGGGCCACGTCGGCCCATTCGCTCTGCTGCCGCCGTGGCTTGCGCCTCTTCGTCGCACGAGCTGCAGCAGTATGGATCTGAACGGTGGGTCTGCACTCGTTGCCTGTGCGTGATCGGCCAGAGCCAGCTGCTTTGTTTCGCGGCCACCTCGTGCATGTTCAGGCCCTCCTCCATCGATAAGGGGCCGACGACCGAGGCGCGTGGCGGTGCGCCCGTGCCTGTGGCCGCGCGTAAGCTGCAGAAAGGAGGGGGAGGAACCCAGGACTTCCACCTCTCTCATGTCCTGCATGTTTTCTCCATCCATTGCATCACCTACTGTGCACGGTGTGGTTTCTAGACCTCGATCGCGAATGGCGGCGATGCTCGCCACCTTCGTCGTCCGTGTCGGGGTGAATCCAGGTGGCAACGAGAATCTCCGTCGAATTCGGAGGGGCCTGCATCCTCGTCGGGAAGGCCCGCCTCGAGGCACCCTCCGTGTCCAGGAAACCCTTTTCGCAGCTGCCGCACACGGCGAGCAGGCGACGGAAGCTGCTGTGGAAGCTCTCGGGCCCGAGCCTGCGCCAGTCCCCAGGGGGCCATGCAACTATGGCGGGGGGAGCGACGGCCACGCTGGGGCCTCGGTGCCCGCGTGGTGTTCGTTTCCCTCGTCTGGGGTGCGTGGTCCAATTGGGCTGCCGGTTAAACGAAACGTTCCTGAGCGTTCCTCCTCCTCCTCGTGCCTCGCAGCAGGCCGGGGGCCACGCCGCGCAGGGAGCCAACAGAAGAGGGCACCCGTGAGCGGGAGCAGAAGGAAGGGGGCCACGACTGGGAGCCCCGGGGCAGCGCGTCGCCCTGCCGGCGCTGGCCCACACGCTTCGGCGAGACGAGGCGTCCGCTTCCTGGCCCCGAGGCGCCAACACCCCCAGCGAAACGTTGTCCGCTGAAAGGGCGCCGCGTGTTGCCGGAGCCGCCGCCGCCACACGCCAAGCAAAGCATCCCGACCGTGAGGAGGCCCGCGCGCTCACGCACGGGATTGCTCTGTCGTGCCGACGCGGCGCTCGCCGCGAGCGTTCCAGGCTGAACAACGCCGCCGGCGGCCCAGAATCGGCCAACATGCAACGATTTGGCGATCGAGCAGTGTCTCGGGAGCGCTGGGAGGAGACTCGCTCCTCTTGCAGCGCGCTCTCGCCCTCTATGCCCTTTTCAGGCTCCATAGTGGCATCCGGCATCATCAGTTTTCCCCCTTCGAGTTCTTCGGGGCGTACACCAGGGTCCTCCGCGAAGGGGGGGCGAGGTAGCCTTTGACTTCTCTCTTTGTTCCTCCTCCTCCTCCTCCTCCTCCTCCTCCTGCTCCTCCTCCTTGGCTCCTCCTCCCCTCCTTGATGACATATCTGTCCGTATGTGCCTGGTTGTCTCGGCACTGGCGCGTTGGCAGTTGCGCCTCGCGATTCTCCCACCATTCGTGGCTTGGCTCACTTGCAGGGCGATTGAGTTTGCGTGGTTGTTCACGGAGCTGGGTCTCCGACATTTATTTCTGCAGCACTGCTGTCAGCTCGATCTGACCCCAGTCCGTAGCGATCGGTGATCTTGCTTATGCTACGCTCGGCGACGCATTTGGCTTTCTGTGTATATATATATATATAAACGGTTGGAGGCCGACTGGGGTTCGCGAACACACACACACACACACACACACACACACACACACACACACACACACACACACACACACACTACGTTTGTCTTGTATGCTCGACGCTGTCAGCGAGTGTGAATGCTGTCCGACTCGCCTGTGAAGGCAAGCGCTTAAGCGGACAGGAATTTGTTTTCCCTATGCGTCTGGCCTTCAGAAAAATAAGAACGATCTGGCGATCGAGAAGCCGCCGATCCCTCAAGGTTGCGCGAGCCACGCGGTGTCAGGGCGACGGCGTGGGCCTGGGGCTGGACCGAGCAAGAGGCCCGCGAGAGCTGCGGGTTGGCCACGTGCAGGAAGGGGAGGTAGAGGGGAGGTGGGAAGGCTTCTTAGAAGCACTCCTGCTTCCCAGAAGGCGCGGGCTTCGTCTGTAGATGTAGGGCCGGCTCCTTCTAAGAAAAAGCCTCCTTCCAAGGAACCCCCCTCCCCCTACCCCCTTGTGCGCGCCGCCAAAAGGGGCCCGCGAGAGCAAAAAGGGTTCCCTAACCTCCCTCCATCCCTCCCAGCTCGCGGGCCAGCCAGGCGGGCTCGCGGCAGAGGTGGCGGACCGTCCTGCCCGCCCGGGCCGCCCTGGCAGGAAGGGGCAGCGGGAGGGGCAGGGCGGATGTCAGACGAGGGAGGCGACGCGATCCTACAACTAGGGGCCCTCCCCTCGTCTTGAGGCCCTCGTTTCCTGGGGGGGGGGCACAGTCGAGATCGATAGTAACGACGGGCAGCCTTCCCAAGGGTACCCTTGCATCCCCTCCTCGGTCCATCCTTGACCCCTGTCGGTGGCCGGCCCCGCGCGAAAAGCTTCGGCATGGGCGTCCGAGGGACCTGCATCCCCATCGCGCACCCTGGCGATCGGTCTTGGCTGCAGAGTCAGCCTCGGCGCTGGTGTGCTCGTGGCCGAGGCGGCGCGTGGCACCCCGCGCTTGCGGGCAGGAGCGGGGGGGGGGGGCGGCGCACGGGGGAAGCCTGGGCGCGGGCTGCCGGAGGCGCAGGCGCTGAAGGCCGGGAGGGCAGAGAGGGGGAGTCGGAGGTGGATAGGCCTACAGTGCCGTTTTTAATACATGCTCCGCGTGCGGACCATGTGTCAAACTTGCAGGGATTCAGTATTAAAAACAACGATGAGTTCGTGCATAGATTTATTCAAACATTGACCATGTATTAAAAATCCTATAGTTAAAAAATCCAATATATTAAAAACTGCCCTGTACCCTGACACGTCGATTAGTGAATTGGTCGTTTTCGGTTCGCGAGAGGGCGTCGCGGGCGTCGTTTTTGCGGGTCCGGGTCCGTCGGTTTCGGTCCCAGGCCGTTTTCACTACAGGGTGGTTTACTGAAGGGAGGCTTGTCCACCGCCGAGGGAACGGAGCGTGGAGGAAGCTGGACGGGCGGGCGGCAGAATCCCCCGAGGCATCGGTGGAGGAGCGATCTGATTGTCCATCCGAAGTCGGATGCAACTCTTGGGAGGCGGACTCCGGCTTCGGCGTTGGCGCATCCGTGGGCGAAAGCCGGCACGGTTTGGCATGCTCCTTGTTAATCGTCTGGCGTGATCCCGAGCCAAATCCAGCTTAGGCCGGTTTTAAGGCCCGGGCTTACTAGCCCCTACTCGTTCTTACGAAGATTTTTCAGGGGATGCCTCCTAATCTACTGCCCGTCCGGCCAGAGGAACGCCACACCCACAAGCAGCCGAGCGCCGTTGCCCCGAAGGCTCCGGGGGGGGGGGGCGGCGTCCATATGTATGGCGTTGCTGTGTACATGATGTGCGAGCGACGTGTGCGGCATGTTGGAGGGCCAGAATGTACATGAACACATAGATGGCGATGCCATCCAGTTGTACTGTACGCGCACTGTTGTCCATGTGTACCAATTTGGCAGCGCTCGTTATCGGCATCAAGCATTCGGTATGGTGTGTGATTGACATCGGACAGATTCCATTTGAATGCATTTCACTACGCAACCACACAATATACGGGCACATGTGCAGCTAGGCCTATATACGATCACCTTTGCAACTACCCCTACCCAGACAATGCTTAACTTAGGGGTTCCAACGAGCCGCTATCGGGTGACCAGCCGAAAACCGGGCACACCAAATCAATCACTTTGGGTAACAGAAGTAAGAACCCCTCAGTGCAGACACTGCTCGGGGAACGTAGACTGATAGCCAGATCGACAGGTAGATCCTGAGACCGGTAAGTCGTGAGACCGATAAATATCATGGTAGTGAGATCGGTAGATGAGTGCTGAGACCGCTAGATCGTGTTCACGACCGATCGATTGGTAAGTGGATCGGTAGGTTGATAGCGAAACCTAGAGATAGTTAGATCGGTGTTCCGTGGTTGTCCCGTGATTGTCCCGCGGTTGTCCCGAAGTTGTCCCGTGGTTGTCCCGTGGTTTTCCCGTGGTTGTCCAGTGGTTGTCCAGTGATTGTCCCTCGGTTGTCCCGTCTTCGTCTCGTGGTTGTCCTTTCGTTGTCCCGTGGTCGTCACGTAGTTGTCTTGTGGTTGTCCCATGGTTGTCCCTGGTTGTCCCGTGGTTGTTCCGTTGTTGGCAGTTGTCGTCCCGCGGTTGTTCTGTAGTTGTCCCGTAGTTGTCCAGTGGTTGTCCCGTTGTTGTCCCGTGGTTGTTTTGTGGTCGTCCCGTGTATAGTGGTGAGATTGTATACGTATTCTTGTATTTGTATACAGCTTGAAAATTTCTACGTATAGATCGGTTGTGTGACCACTATATCGTGAGGCCGACTGATATTCGGAGGGGACTATGGATATGCAGTGAGGCCGACAGGAAGGTAGACATACGTCTATCGGGAAGGTCTTGCGGCCGGCGCCGCCGACCCTCAAGGGGGACGACGACGACGACGACGACGACGACGACGACGACGACGACGACGACGACGCTGAGGCTCTGGAGCCCTTCTTGGGGCTCTCTTGAGAGCCAGTGGGGTTCTGCTGGGGGGCCTCTTGGGAGACTTTTGGGGAAGCTCCGTGGCCACTCGGAGCCGCCCCATAGTGGATCTGGGGTGTCTTGGAGGCATGTGGAAAAATACGCAGCACCCCGCAAAAGAGTGAGGAGGGTGCATCCGGGGGGGGGGGGGGTCTGGGAGGAGGCGGGGGTGGTGGTGGTCCCTTGCCCACAGGGGCAGCGGGGGGAGAGGTTCTGAGTCCCCCTGTTCACAAGGGGACCACCTCACCTTGTCCACGGGGGACCGCCCGGCGGGGGGACGGGGGTTAGATCCCGGGGGCCCCTCCCGCCACACTCTTCAGGACTTCACCGGGGACGCCCCCAGGATCCCCCTTGCCCCCCCTCCCTTTCGAATCAATTTCGACGTTGTTTGATTATGTCTGGCTGGGTCGCTTGAGGAGGAGGGCCCAGGGAAAAGGGGGCAGCGGCGACGACGACGATTCGAACGGAAAAACGTGCCAGACACGCTGGCATGGACGGCGAAATTATGTTCGTAAGCTCCTGGCTCCCCAAGTAGTCCAGTCCCTCAGAAGTTTCGCCGCCTTCGGCGGCAACTCCTCGTCGCACGCGCTCGAGAAGGCGTGAACCCACGACTTCCAGGCCTGGGCGGCCTTCGCGGCGGCAGCCGCCTTGGTCTCCGCGGCCTCCTTCGCCCTGTAGCAGTCAGTCAGCTCCTTCTTCAACCCCCGCAATCGGGCCTGCGCGGGCGGGGCAGCAAAACAGCCGAACGGACGGGGGTAGTCGGCCATCGCCCGCATGCGTCATGCACCCATGCCGGCTCACCCCTCACGCGTTTCGTGGCCCCATAGGGAGCTCCACCGAAGGCCACAGTGTCTTCGCCCGCATGCGTCACGCACGCACATTTCGGCACACCCCTCACACGTTTCGTGGCCCCACAGGGAGCTCCACCTAAGGCCCCAGTTCCACCGCCCGCGTGCGCCACGCACACCCATTTCGGCACACCCCTCACACGTTTCGTGGCCCCACAGGGAGCTCCACCTAAGGCCCCAGTACCACCGCCCGCATGCGTCACGCACACCCATGTCCGCACACCCCTCACACGTTTCGTGGCCCCACAGGGAGCTGCATCGAAGGCCCCAATGCCACCGCCAGCATGCGTCACGCACACACACACACACACACACACATTGCGGCACACCCCTCACACGTTTAGTGGCCCTATACGAAGCTCCACCAAAGGCCCTAGTGCCACTGCCCGCATGCGTCACGCACACACATTTCGGCACACCCCTCGCGCGTTTCGTGGCCCCACAGGGAGCTCCACCGAAGGCCGCAGCGCCACCGCCCGCATGCGTCACGCACGCACATTTCCTCACACCCCTCACACGTTTCGTGGCCCCACAGGGAGCTCCACCGGAGGTCCCAGTGCCACCGCCCGCATGCGTCAAGCGCGCGCATTTCAGCACACCCCTCACGCGTTTCGTGGCCCCACAGGGAGCTGCACCGAAGGCCCCAGTGCCACCGCCCGCGTGTGTCACGCACACCCATTTCGACACACCCCTCACGCGTTTCGTGGCCCCACAGGGAGCTCCACCGGAGGCCCCAGTGCCACCGCCCGCATGCGTCACGCACACCCATTTCGGCACACCCCTCACACGTTTCGTGGCCCCACAGGGAGCTCCACCGAAGGCCCCAGCGCCACCGCCAGCATGCGTCACGCATGCCCATTTCGGCACACCCCTCACACGTTTCGTGGCCCCATAGGGAGCTCCACCGAAGGCCCCAGTGCCACCGCCCGCATGCGTCACGCACACCCATTTCGGCACACCCCTCACACGTTTCGTGTCCCCACAGGGAGCTCCACCGAAGGCCCCAATGCCACCGCCGGCATGCGTCACGCACACACATTTCGGCACACCCCTCACACGTTTAGTGGCCCCATAGGGAGCTCAACCGAAAGCCCCAGTACCACCGCCCGCATGCGTCACGCACACCCATGTCGGCACACCCCTCACACGTTTCGTGGCCCCATAGGGAGCTCCACCGAAGGCCACAGTGCCACCGCCCGCATGCGTCACGCACGCACATTTCGGCACACCCCTCACACATTTCGTGGCCCCACAGGGAGCTCCACCGAAGGCCCCAGTGCCACCGCCCGCATGCGTCAAGCACGTACATTTCAGCACACCCCTCATGCGTTTCGTGGCCCCACAGGGAGCTGCACCGAAGGCCCCAGTGCCACCGCACGCGTGCGTCACGCACACACATTTCGGCACACCCCTCACACGTGTCGTGGCCCCATAGGGAGCTCCACCGGAGGCCCCAGTGCCACCGCCCGCATGCGTCACGCACACCCATTTCGGCACACCCCTCACACGTTTCGTGGCCCCACAGGGAGCTCCACCGAAGGCCCTAGTCCTAGTGCCACTGCCCGCATGCGTCACGCACACACATGTCGGCACACCGCTCATACGCTTCGTGGCTCCATAGGGAGCTCCACCGCGGGCCCCACTGCCACCGCCCGCATGCGTCACGCACACCCATGCCGGCACACCCCTCACACGTTTCGTGGCCCCACAGGGAGCTCCACCGAAGGCCGCAGTGCCACCGCCGGCATGCGTCACGCACACACATTTCGGCACACCTCTCACACGTTTAGTGGCCCCACAGGGAGCTCCACCTAAGGCCCCAGTGCCACCGCCCGCATGCGTCCAGCACGTAAATTGCAGCACACCCCTCACACGTTTCGTGGCCCCACAGGGAGCTCCACCGAAGGCCCCACTGCCACCGCCGGCATGCGTCACGCACACACATTTCGGCACACCCCTCACGCGCTTTGTGGCCCCATAGGGAGCTCCACCAGAGGCCCCAGTGCCACCGCCCGCATGCGTCACGCACACCCATGTCCGCACACCCCTCACACGTCTCGTGGCCCCGTAGGGAGCTCCACTGGAGGCCCCAGTACTGCCGCTCCCATGTCGGCACACCCCTCACATGTTTCGTGTTCCCCGCTGGGGGCTGCACCGAAGGCCCCAGTGCCACCGCCCGCGTGCGTCACGCACACCCATGTCGGCACACCCCTCACACGTTTATTCTCGTTTCTAAAAAGAGAATAGACTCTACCCCCCCCGGACTTATCGGTTCCCCTTGGGATAGTACGATTTCATATTTAAATATTTATATATATATGTATATATATACTGCACACTCGTCAATCCTAAATGTGAAATCGTACCATCCCAGCCAGGCCGGGTTCCTCCCCCTGAGGTTCCTCTGTAAAAAATTACCCTGTGACGTACCCAACCCATTTGTATCAATGGAAACGAGGAGTTGGCCGAAACTTGTATGGACAATAAACTTGATGTGTAAGCTACTTGGGAGGCGTCACTGTGCTGGGCCCCGCCAGCAGGCCTCGAAAGTGGCGACAGTTTCACAGATCGCAGCCCCCCAGGGATGGCGAGGTCTAATTTGAATCTGCGTGTGGCACCACTGTGCTGGGCCCCCCAGCAGGCCGCGAAAGTGGCGACAGTTTCACAGATCGCAGCCCCCCAGGGATGGCGAGGTCTAACTTGAACCCGCCGTGGGTACCCACTGTGCTGGGCCCCCCAGCAGGCCTCGAAAGTGGCGACAGCTTTCACAGATCGCAGCCCCCCAGGGATGGCGAGGTCCATTTGAGTCCGCCGTGGGTACCCACTGTGCTGGGCCCCCCAGCAGGCCTCGAAAGTGGCGACAGTTTCACAGATCGCAGCCCCCCAGGGATGGCGAGGTCCCATTTGAATCCGCCG